CATCATCATCATCATCATCATCATCATCATCATCATCATCATCATCATCATCATCATCATCATCATCGATTGGAGTGGCTTTTGGTGTCTTTCAGTCTCCCAAGTGCCACGGGGGTGGCCATTTTTCGCCCTCGTTTCGCCAGCCAGACAGCAGGTGGCGGAAAGACGATGAGAGCCGAGCTCACAGCAAAGGAAGTGTTCAGGATGCAGCCGGAGTTCTTGTCTGCAAGCCGTGCTTTTTGCCCCCGCGGGGATATATAAGGATGTATTTTCCAATGTCACGTTTGTTGTCCACTGGTTTTGGCCTATGGATCCCAGCATTTCCTGGGTAGTGCTGGTCTTGAACTCTTTGGTGTAGCATCATTTCAAGAGAAACTGAACGCAAGTAGAAGCACGTGATGCGGATGCCTTCCGTACAAACCACTCCTTGGAGACACTCTGACTGAAAAAACTCGCTGAAGTTTTTGGAGATGGTTTGTGAGTCAACTCTTTCAGTGGAAGTCACCCTAGACTTTGTAGTCACTGGGCAAAAGGGAGGAAGGGAGGACCTCTTTGTCATTCTTTACCAAAGGCTCTCAGTCTCTACATGGTTTTCGATCTTGTCTTGCAAAATGCCCAGGAGAGGTTTTTTGCATCTTGTGGCACTTGTTGCAGGTATTGTCAAGTGCTCGTCTGTTGCGCAGACGGACCTGTCATTGACCACCGTGTTTATTTGAAAGATAAAAGCATTGACCTGGCCGGAATGGATCAATGTTTGTGGACGTTGGTGAGGGGAAGCCACGAAAAGACATCTGATTGTCACTGCCCAGGAGCCACTGGTGCATCCTCTCGCTGCCATAGGCGCCAAGCTGCATACGGGTTGCCGTTTTCAGTGACCAGACCAAGCAGACCCGGAGTCACGAACTCTTTGCCGTGACTCCTCTTTGGGGCATCGTTTTGTGGCACTTTCGGGCACTCGATTCGATCGGTTCAAGAAAGGTGACCAGCTTGTTCCCTGATTTCGTTGATGAGGGGACTGGCAGAGTTCCCAGGTCACGACTCAAAGCAGTGAGGCAACCGGTCATGATGGATGTGGGGCAAAACTTGCGTCACAATGTCCACCCAATTAATGACTACGATGTTCATCCTACCCAGAGGCTTTGGGCGAAGCAATGGTGCTCACCCGGCAGCGGTTGCTTCTGATGACGGGAAGAAATGGTCCTTGCAGCGGGATGTTCTCGAATTATGAACGCATTTGGATTCTGGCCAATTGCTGTTCAAGGGAGCGTCAAAGTTATGTCAAATTCCTGTACCTATGTCTATATTATATATTCCTGTCATCCACGTCCGAGTGATTTGGACCCCGAATGTTGTGCCGAATGCATTCATTACATCTTATTACTTCTTCTATCTTGGATCCATGGCATTTCCTTGGATCCATCACCGCTCGGTGCATCTTCGCGTTGATCACACAGGCGGCTCCGACCGCGACGGTCGCGCGCGGCGGAAGACGCCGCACTTCGCCCAGATCCAGCGGAGCCGCGTTGGGTGGGGCTCTGGGTCTTCCTGCCGGTGCAGCACCGTTTGGGCACCCTTGAAGCACCAGCAGTTACTGCAGGGGTTTTCAATGGTCTCATTTCAACTGGACCTTTACAAACAACGGATATTACTTTACTTTTACAAACATTGTGGATAATACATGATATGATATGATATTACTATATATATGTATGTTTACTTACATATTATGTGTATACTTATATGAATTAATCAATGGCAAATCCAGGACATGATGAGAATGTTCTGAGAATGTATTGCTTTTCCACGGAACCATTTCCATGAAACAACACCCTTTCCTGCGGAGAGTGCTTGTGAATGAATACCCTGAGCATAGACCATCAAAGTCGCTGGTCTGGCGAGGCTGGAACCCGCAAAGCGCCCCTATCGGTGTGGTTCTTCAACTCCGAAACTCAACTAGGGGACCGCCAGTTGGTTGAACCAAGTTGGTTGTGGAATGTCCCCTTTTCATTGGTGGCATCGTAAAACCTGGGAAGTGTTAGATGTTCATCGAATTTTAGCCACGTCCCTCAGCCCAACAGGAGTCTCCTCTATTCAAGCTAAGGGGATCCATCTCAACCTCGGGCATCTAAATAGATCGGTGGGTATCTGACTCTCAGTGGTGTTCCTGACAAAGCCACCTTCATTGCACTCCGTTTCTTCCAAAAGAGCTTGAAACTGCACTTCCCGCGGTGGGTGGGATGGAGCTGTATGTCGAGTTGCATTGCTCATGGAACCCCCACAAGAGCATCATATGTTGGAATATGTTGGAATCATCAACCAAACCGTGGCATGGCACATGTTAGATAATGTGTTAGATATACTTGATATATAATAGCTTGATATAACCATCCAAAAGAACGGATTAATTTTCGCCCTTTTAGGTTTCCATTGGTTCCGCAAGACCGGTGCCGGACCCTCCAACGCAGGACCCCCAGCAGCGCCGGCGCTCGCAGCGGCGCGTGCTGCCCGTTGCCGCCCTTGCTGAAGGACCGGGGGTTCAAAGCGCGAGCGGACGATGGAGTGCGAACAGCTGCCTAGGTTGTAGGTTTCCAATGCAAAGTGACCATTTGTCTTAGTCGTGTCTAAGCAATGACCAGTGTGTTTCTTTCTTTTTTTGTGGGGTTCAAAAACCAATGCCAATGGCTTCCCGGTCTTTTTAGAACATGTTCGAGAACTAATTGAACTAACTCAGTTCTTTTGGGGCCAGTGGAACAGGGGATGAGCTGCATGATGCTGTAGGTGATGGCCCGATGCTGTAGGTGATGGTGCTGCCGTGGATCGTCTTGCCTGGGAGGTTCATAGACATCTCCATGACATTCCATGACTAAGCGAGTCAATGACTTCGTCTTTTGGTGTTGGGGGAAGGTGGACATCCGAACACCCATTTGAGCAAGATCCAAAACCAAAAGCTCTGCGTTTTTGCACTACAGGTCTTGCAAGGTGTTTGGACATGTCGTTTCTGTGCCTAAGGAAAGAGTTCCTTTAGGGGGTTGTGTATAACGAGCACTTGTCTCATGTTGGTCAGGGATAGTATCATGTTCAGGTGGGGTTCCTTTGTAGGTGACTAATGACTTTGACAATGGGCCAGATCCTTTAGGCAAAGGGTTGGTGATATAAGTGAAATTGGACTACTGAACATGTCCACCTAAAAGGTACAGAAAACAAGACGTTTCCCCCCCCAAAAAAAAGAATATCTATATCTATATATCCGCACCATTTAACAAGTTCATTCCACGAGAAAAAAACTACGTTGGGAAGACTGGGAATTCCCCAAACACCTATCCAAACACCATGCAAACACCCTTTTCAGACCTTCCCAGTGACCCTCCCCAAACACTTTGCATTTTCCCATCACTTTCCGCCTCACGGGGACGGGGGAGACGTGCCTCGCAGGCCTCAGCTTCGGCGCCCTGCCTGACCCGGAAAGGCTGGACAAATGTCAGCCGGTCGAAAGAAACAGAGGAATACTTGAAGCGCTTGCTTTAGCCTTGGCCGGTTATATAATCTACAATATAATATAGTATAATGTATACTTAAGATGTACTTAAGACAATATGTTATCACAGATGTTCATGCCTTGGTCCACTTGTGATGCTCCAACTCTTCGCCAGGTCAGTCTCTCAAGGCTCTCACGGCGGACGAGGGGCCTTTTTGACGCCGGTCTCGACCGGCGGCGGTGACTGGGTGTGCCGGACGAAAGGACCGGTGACCGGTGGCCGGTGAAGCGATCCCCTGGTCCTCTCCATGACTGGCAAGGCTGACGAGTTTTGAAGGAAGATGCACCGCCCTGGAGCAAATGGATACAGGTAATACAGATGGTCTGGAAATAGTGGGTTCTACTCAAGGTGCCTTGAAGCATTCTTTCAGAAATAGGATTCTGGCCCGGGGGGTCTTCCACAATGAGACGAGCACATGTGATGACTTCCATATTTCATGTGTACTTGCTGCCAAGAGACTCCAGTCGACCGTGAGTCGTGAGCATCGGGCAATAGTGAAATAGTCTTTGCTAGCGACTTAGTTGTTCGTTTCAACCCCAGTCCCACTATGTTGGAATTGGAAGCAACACCACGTCCTCACACTGTTGGGCTGGGCTGAAGACAGTTGCATTTGGCCATCCAGTTATAGACATTCCCCAACGGTTAGGCAAAGCAGCAGGATTTGAGCCGGACCCAGAATCCTGAGAGTCCCAGCACACCCCAGACCGCTGATCCCCTAATTCATGTCACAGACGGGCTGGCGTAGGTGCTGTCAGGCCGGATGGCAAGCAGTAGAAACAACTTGCATGCATCAAGCCACCATTCTTATTTTGAAAGAGTTTGACCGCGAAAACATGCGGAAACCATCGACGTTGGATGTCAAAACGAATCTCACAAAGACCGTGAACAGGATTCTTGTACCCCTTTCACCACTTCTTCTGAAGCTGTGTTGAGTTCCTCTCAACACCCCCACGCCGTGTAAGTGAACTGCATTTGTTTGTTCTCTATTCTGTCATCCATGTTTTGTATGGGTGGCCCCCAGACATGGTGGGTACTTGGTCAGGATCGTTTTTACTTTCAGTTTCGATGGCCCAAGTCACAGACCTACACACCTCACCTTTTTCATGCCTCCGTGGTGCGAAGACATCGCATGGACGACCCGAAAAAGCAGCATCCAAAAGCTGCTTGGGGGGGGGCTGGATGTTTTCACCGTGTTTTAAATCATGGTCGACCTGAAAAGCCTCGAGGGTTCCTCTTCCCATCAGAAAGGTGAATGGGAAGACGCTCCGAACCAATGGAGGATCTCAGATCATCTTAGTCCACCTTGCCTTGTACCAGAGTTTCATTTCCATATTCTATCACTGATGGAACCCACCAGCCCCACGAGCTCAGCTTCTAGAGCTCCGGAACCGCCCTCCGCGAGTTTGGCCCGAATGGGAACTCGGTGAGTTGGGCATGAACTTGTGTGGCTTCAATGTGAGAGGCAATGGTTCCATGTGTCACACCAGCTCTGGTCTTGCTGGTGGCAGGTGACTGGTGGCCGTGTTGGTCACTGGCGCGTGAAACAGGTCACTGGCCGGTGAAAGGTGAAAAGGGCCGCACAAGGTGGGGAAGTGGCCACACCGTTTGGAGTATTGAGGAATACAGTAATTCATGATTGTAGACTGAAGATTAATTCACGACTATAAATATCCTCAACAGGTGGGGATCTCCACACTCGCTCATCAATCCCATGAAGGCAGTCGTCTCCAGTGGAGGAACGATCCAAAGAATCAGAGGCTTGGCTGTTCTGGGATATGTCACCTGGAGCCCCTGGTCCACCATGTAGCTTTCTTGCATTTGGACCCACAGCTCTAGGTCATTTGCAAACTAGTCTATGGACTTCCAAGAGGATTCAAGAGGTATTAGAGCCAAACATCTTCTCTTTACAGGACCTCTTGATTGGTGTCAGTGTGTTCACAGAGAAGTTACACGTGCTCGCAGGGAATGTTCAGCTTCGCAGGCTTCAGGCGTGTGCTGATTGTCCACTGCATCGGTAGATGCCATTTGATGCCCACGAATGTTCGGCTCCCTGACATCATCATGGACGTGGAACAACCACCCACCTGTTTGAGTGCCTGTTTGGTATTCGGATCTATTCGGATGTGGTCATCCAAGTGGAGCAATGCCGTATGCACGGACCCCATGATTCTTTCAGGGAGTGTACCATTCTTTCATCTTTGGTCTGAAAAACATGTCTTTTTCCCTTGCCAACGGTTGGATGCAGAATGATGGAGGGAATCAGTTTCAAACAGACTCATGCCCTGTCCGTTATGGTCAGGGTCCGTGAGGGTGCCATGACGCAGGTACCGTCGGTGCATGTAAACAGACGGTGGGTCCCGATTGGGGTGTTTGACCGTCGTCGAGTGGGGCCTATTTGCGTACGAATCAAGCAGTGTATGTAAATGAAATCATCCACCGTACCAATGTAGCAGATCAGGATATTTCTTCCCATGATGGAGGAGCCCAGGAGAAATTGTCCATCTACAGACCGGGATGTTCGTTTAGATCTGGCAGAAGGGAGGAACTCAACAAGTTCCTGACGTGAAGACCTAGGATTACATGACATGGCATGTGAACAGTCAATGCGACCAATGTTGTTTGATTTTCCCGGAGCCAGAAAGCCTTCAAATCCTTTGGGCTTGGAAACTGTTGCATCTCTTGCTGATTGATGTTGATGTATGAAATATGGCTTTTGCCCCATGTGAAACACAATCTTTTGCTGATTGAGGTGTGAAACATGTTGCATCTCTTGCATGTGTTGAATTGAGTTACTCTTGCTTTTGCCGCAGTATTTGTGCTGAGAATTAGCTCAGCCTGACAGCAGCGCACGGTGCCTGTCCCTCAGCAGAAGCGTCTCACACTTGCATGGGCAGGTCTACTCAGCACTGCGACTCCTGTCCTCAACAAACCATGTATATATAAATAACGATAAAGATATATATATATATATTAAAGGCATATGGCATGTGTTATGTTGGATCATGTTGGAAGGTTTGACTGGGATTTGATTGGATATGGACCTTGCTTGGAGGATGCTGGACATTGCTGGACACAATTGATGCACAAACCTCACATGGTTCCAACTCCAACGTGTCAATATAAACACACGACGTCTAGAACGAAGTCATCATCGATTCCTCGGGATTCTGGTGGTCTTCCGGGGGGCTTGTCTTGGGCACCCGAGAAGCTTCATTGGATACAGAAAGGGCTTGAATCTTCAAGATCCATGGTAAATCTATGCAGATCAGGGAAGTGATTAACTCGCAGATGTCAGTGCAGAAGTCAGTTCAGCCCTTTTTGTTGATGGGCGAGTTCCAAAGAATCGGATGAATCCCCTATCTATTTTTTCGCTTCAGAGCGAATTGCGTCTGGGGTCTTTGTCGTCATGGGGGTTCCAGGCAAGACTTGCCTCAACTCTTGCAAGCAATATCTATTGGAACATGTGGTTTGTGAGTCGCAGCCACTCCGTCGCAGTGAAAAGCGCTTTTCATCCCTCCGAATTGAAGAAAATGCAAATCTGTGCAAGTAGCCTCAAACTGGCTGGGTCCACCCGGAATGTTAAACTTGATTCGAAGCACGAGGAGCACTTGTTCAAGTTGATTCATTTCGTTACCCGGCGAGATCATGGAGTAGACGCCATGAGATGTCTGTGGCGCATTCAGATCAAACACAAAGACATGGCAAAGCACTTCGGACAAGATGATTCCTACACGGTCGAACCGGAGATCCTCGCCGGCATCGACGACAGGTGTTTCATCTACGACGGGTGGTTCCGGGATTGATGCTGACATCTTCCCCCACGGAATATGAACAGCCAGCAGGGTTCGCCCTGGTTTTGCTTCTGAATCCATATCTGGTGCAGATTGTACTGTATTTTCCCGGTTCCTTAGCAAATCCAAGGAACGGGTCGCTGCTTTGGGAACGAAGACTTTGAGACCAAGAAACACTTAGACTTGACCCAAACGACCTTCCGCAAAAAAAGGGTGTTGCAGCACTGATAACAGCATGCAGCAACAGAAATCCTAAATGAACAGCCAGTAGCCAAGGATGGCCAAGGCCAAAGGTGTGAAGCGAAGAGCCAGCTCACACTTAGGGTCTTAGGGAAACATTAGAACCATCTCGCACAATTTTAAAACTTAACGACTCAATTTTCATCACGATGGCTTTGGCAGCAGCCACTGTGGAAGCCGCCGAAAAGAGGCACAGATCTGAGAGAGAGAGAGAGGGAGGGAAGGAGGGAGGGAGGGAGAGGGAGAGAGAGAGAGAGATAGAGAGAGAGAGAGAGTCAGCTGGTGATTTCGTGTGCTATGGTTCTTCCCACTCAGCCATGTTTGTTTTCAGTATACTGGGCCCAGCATCCATAATTCCATACAATTCCCGGAAGCGAACAGCACTGACCAACGGCGTAACCTGTCATGCCGATCCAAGCATTGAATAGATGTTAACCATATGTTAACAAGCTTAAATGTCTATGATGCAGCATGATGCAGCCATCTGAGGCACCGCTCAGATTTTGCTGGTGCTTGACAGGGATTTTGCATGAGCGATCAGCTTCACCGTTGCACCATGCCAGATCAGTTGCATGCACTGACCTAACAATGTTCTACCCCCAAAACCACGGCGCTTTCATTGTGGCACCGACTGATGCGCCCATCGTCCACCTATCGGCCCTTTGGCGTTTCGCCCCCTCGACTATTGTGACAACTAAGGGCTCTCCGTCCATCTCTCCGAGTGCTCAACCCGCTGTGGTTCACGCATGTTCACGCGCCACAAGCGACACGTGCCTGACACAGACTAACCACGCGACAGGCGGAGAAGTGGCCGGCACGACGGCCTTACACCGAAGAGCCTAGGCGGTCCGCGGTCCGCGGGTCTTCGGTGGGCACAGCAGCATCCAGCAGCTGGCTAAATGCCTTGGAGTGACAAAAAGAGGCCCTCTCCCTGAAACAGGTGGTCAGTTGGTAAGCCACTGTGGTCTGAGAATTATGAATTGAATTGAATTGATAACTGCATTACAGTTGAGGTCGAATGTGTGTGACAGTGAAACAACCATGATGTTTTTACACACTTTAGAAGCTCAGAGGCTTAAGGAAATCGATTGTGTTACTATGTGTTTTTGAGTGACCTGCCCCACACCGACAACGGTCCAGTCCTCACGAAGCAACATCCTCCGAATAAGAACCAGAACAGTACGGTTCCGTCCCACCCCAGTTCGCTC